GCGCTATATAAATAAAGGTGACTTGACTTGACTTGACTTGAGGGGCATTCCTGTTGACTTCTTCACGAATGGTGCCACCCACCCTTATCTGCACTGAGAAGATGATAATTGTCTTACAGTATAGTTGGTGTGTATTACATTATGATATCATATCCTTTAAGCCAAGAATGTTTCAGCCTTCTTCCCAGGCATTTCCTGTTATTTTTGCCACACTTTGAACAGAATCACATGCAAATAACATGTTGTTTTGACATTTCTTTGTGTATTTACCATTAAAGTATTGTACAGAAAATGGTAGAAAAAACAAACTTCTTTCACCTTCTCACCGATATTTTTTTTCTTTTCTTTGGCCGTTTCTGTTTTACCTCATATAATTGAGAAGCTGCTTGCACTGAGAAGTCAACAGGAAACAGCTGTGTGCACTGATTTGCTAAAAGACTTTTTACAATAAAAATATTGGCGAAATTAACCTGCTGCAGCAAAAGAAACCAGCTTTCCTCTTTGAGAACAAGAGACAATATCATTCACTCATCTCTCTTCAGTCACAGAGACACACACTGACCTGATCTTTCTTCAGTGTAATCTGGCCCATCTCTCTGTTTCCAACAAAGGAGCGTGTCACTTTATACACCCTCTCACCGGCTCGCACCCTGATGATGTAATTCATGGGCAAGTATCCTGTCTTCTCCCCAATCTTACCCTAGAACACACACACACAGATTAATGTATTAAAGTGTGTATGTTTTCCTCTATTCTCTATTTTTCCTATCTCAGTTTAAGGGGTAAACACTTTAAGAATAAGCTATTCTTCTATTTTTAGCAATTACTTAGTAATTGTAAACTAAATGACCCATTAATCTTAATCTCCCTTTTGCTTTCTTCTGCATATCATTATCAGGGCAATGTTGCCACCGGAGGTGCATGTTGTTTGTGTGAAAACCTAAAATATGATCATTTTATACATGCATTATTTGATCAGATGTGTGTTATAAATCCAGCTTTATATCTGAAAATCTCAAGCCAACCAGAGTATGGATTGCAACCATTATCTCAGCCTTTGTATCCTTTTCATTCCTCTTTCCTGTTTGCTTGTAAATTGCATAACGTGGTTTTATCCACTCCATTGTATTTGTGTGACACAATGAAATGAAGCAATAATATTGTAGCTCTGCATGTATCCTTGATAAATGTTGTAATCCTTTGTGGTGAGGAGACTTCTGTCGAGATATCTCCCAGTCATCCCATTGCTGATAAACGTATGAAAGAACCGTTTTTCTTACAGTATTCCAGCAGGAGGAACTCACCCTCCACCACTCCTCATTGGAGTCATCCAGCACTGTGATGCGATCTCCTGGACTGAAACACAAACACACACTTAGCACACCTGACCCGATTTACAAATGAAACTAAGAAATAACTTATGATGCTTATGACTATGCATGAATGCTACGGCTAAACTGAAATGTTAACAAATATGACTCACTGGAAGTCCAGGTCATCTTTCTCGATGGCTTTAAAGCGATACAAAGCCATATAACAGTGAGACTGACTGAACGTCTGCTGCTGCTTCTTGTTCTGCAAACATCAACAGCCGGTTAGAGGGTTTTATTTGCTTGTTGCAACCAGAACCGGATTGAGACTCCGTTGCAACATGTTGAAGCGTGTACTACCTGCATATGTTTAAGTCTCTCACAGTTAAAGTTCCCCCCACGGAACCCCCTTAAAAAATGGGGTGTATAAAAAACATCTTGTATTGTTTTCTTTCTGCGTCCTTTGCACTGTGGTCAGTGGAAGCCTAATGACATTTGGCATACTGATATGGGTTCAGAAAAACAACTTATCTGACCTTCACCAAACTTGGCTTGGATCATCTGCAGACAATGAAAACAGGCCAAAGTTATCAAAGAGTCTTTGGTCTCAGTTACTTTGCAGTTACCCCCAGGACATGAGAACTTCCCAAAATCTTATTTTCTGCTTAGTTAATAATGTACTTTGTGATCTTATTACTTGTGTGGGACATTTAACACTATCTTTGGTAGGAACCAATCCAAGGTGTGTAATTCAGGTGGGGCACTCATCAGTGAATGCTCACTGTATTATTATTATGTCGACCGACCTTTTAAAACATGCACTGCTATATGGCTATAAAACCTTTTGTCATCGGCACCCCATGAAGAGATCTGAGAAGCCACACAGAGATCAAAATATAATAAATATAAAATATAATAAAATGAACTAAAATCTTAAAGCTGCAGTCCGTAAGTTTTGCCTCTTTGTCGCCATCTCTGTTTGAAAACCTGCAATTGCAGTTATTTGTGGAATTATCTTCCTTGCGTGGGTTGTGCTCCGGCACGGCTCCAGCGCGGATGAATCTAATGTTTTGAGGTGAATGCATGGCAGTCAGTCACTGCACCGGTGTGGATATTTACTGTACTTCGCAATCACAGATTCTAGCCAACGTTTTGGAATATATGACTCAAATAAGCATTTTCGATATTGATATTATATTTTATTTTGATTTTGAATATTTTGATATTGTCATCTGAACAATTAACAAGTCTGCCACGTTTGTTCTGACCAACTGAGGAAAAAAGCAGTACAATAAATCGTGCTACCAATGGTGATTGAATCTAAAGATTGGTTAGCTCATATCACATCAAACCATGCAAATTATTATTATTGTTATACTTTTTTCTCAAATTGTTAATGTTAACAACATCAGCATTGCGTGACTACGTGTATAGTGTGTATTAGTAGTGTAGATTTCGATTTCTGTACAGTCTAATCTCTAATTGTCATACCACTCGAATTTCATATTAAGAAATTATTTTAACCCAAAAGGCAAATTATTCTTCTTTCGAGCTGGTTCTCTTTAAAATACAAATCTTGTGTAATCCCACGTATGCTATCTGTAATCAGATTTAAATTTTTAATTCCATTTAAAACCGTAATATAATCTAATTTCAGTCACATGTGTTTCATAAACACATAATCCATTCTGGATTACAATCCGCCATCAGAATGATTTCCTACCCGTACCACTCAAATTAAAAAACGTTATTATATGCTAACCGTTGTGAATCGGGCTAAAGTAAGGTGATAGTTTTGAACACTGGCTGGTTATGTACTTGCTCAAATATTGATTTCGGATCATTTTTAGCCAAAAAAAGATACGGACTGCAGCTTTAACTATTGATTTCATATTTTAAGTACTTCTGCTTCTGATTTTTAACCATTTATCTAAGGCTGATGATACACGGGGCAACTTTTTGAGCAATTTTATTGGGCAACTTTTTTGAGCAATGTTGCTTGGGCACTTTCTCATTTAGGATGGCTAACAAATTTCTATCTGGATACTTTAGATCGGTCGTGGGCCCTGTGTCTCACCTGGTTGCCCGTTGACGGCAACACTGCTCAAAAAGTTGTCCCGTGTATCATCAGCCTAAGACATAACTGGTTTGCTATATATTTTTTTATTCTTTTTTGGAAGCCACCTATTACTGTAATTATGAACAGGTACCATATGTACACTGGAATTAAGTTTATGTGCTTCTTGCTAACATAGAAATAGCAGATGGTAATGAGTACAAGCATTTTCTTTCTGACCAGAGTTAAGACTTTATGAAATTGTGGTCTCTAGATATGGCTTAAGTTTATAGGATTTTTACACTCACTTCATCACCTACTAGGCAAAAGTCTTAAATAGCACATCTCTCCACAGCAAACCACATATTTTGAGGTACCTTTCATGCCCATAGCACAGATGTTGTAGGACGAATTAAGCACTGAAGTGCTGTATTTAGAGGTATGTTTCAACCCCTAACACATTACTATGAACTATAGTAATAGTGATAGTGATGATATGTGGCTTAGCAATACCAATAATGACAGCCAAAAACTACCCAAGTTACAACAAGCACCAAATGACAAAAACTGAAGGGCACACACGCGCGCACACACACACACACACACACACACTTAAACTCATAATGAAATAATAATATTCAATATTCTGGACACAATCAGGGTTGGAACAAGAACGTTTATAAAGGTTGCATAAAGTTTACAATCCAGTCCATGCAACTTTTTAAAGTGTTTAAAAGTTAAACGCAAACGTTTGTTGGTTTGCCACAGCATGAACACTAGTGCATTGGCCTTTTACCTTGTCATCTGCTGCTGTTTTGTCTTTCTTGTCTCCATCTTGCTTTCCTAAAGGATAAAGTGTGACCATTCAAAATATCTTTTTGGAATTAAAGAATATATAAAGCCGGTATAAACTGTTTAAAATGCGAAATCTTTTTTCTACCCTCTCAAAATACCAGAATGAACAGGCCAATCTCATATTGTTAGGTGAAAGAGATCAATAAGCAGCTAAGCCTGTGATTATATATATTGCTGTCAATAGGTGTAGTGTTCTCTTTCGTAGTAACTCGGGCTTGTTGATGGCACAGTGGGAACACATCAGTGGTCACATGCTCTGAAGTCCTACAGAATCACAACAGTTTTCTGGTACAGTTCAAAGGTACACAATGCCCATAAGTAGCTATGTCATCATAGCCTACTAAACGCAGGCTTTGCGTCATCATGTCAGATTCTTCAGTGCCCAGATTGTCTCAGCCCATTATTCCTATGACTAACTGGAAGGGTCTACCTCTTTCATGTGATTTATTATTGGTGACAACATGCTCAGTATGTATGTTGCCTGTTTGGAAGTTTGTTGCATCAGGGCTGCATTGGAGGAATCTGATTGCCCGCACTGCAAACTTATAAATGCTAACTTCTGTGCACTGATGTTAGCAACACTCTACAAAAGCAGCGTTGAGAGATGAGCATTTGGGCATCAAGCTCTCCAGACGGCCTGTTGAGTTCACTTGAAGGTCCCTGTTTCCCAGCCCTGAAGCACATTCTGCGTTTTCCTATAGGCTAGAAGACGAAGAGCAACATGGTATGTCTATGATGGAATTAGAATCTGTGGAGTTCACTGGAGGCCAAGCTGAAGGCTGACTTTAACGCCACAGTGATGCTTACAAATCTGCTTGGGATCACCTCCCATGCATTGGAAAATGACATGCATTGCACCTCCCATGCAATGGATGGATGAGACCCTGACTGAGGAATAAAAGTCCATTTTAGATGATTGTTTTCTGCTTTCACGCCTAGCTGGCTGCTTGCATTTGTTTGTACATTTGTTTGTTTTACTGGTTTACAGACACTAGAGAAGAAGGGAGAGTAATTTTCAAGCTAAAGTAAAAATACTTGATGAGTAATCTCCATGGGGAAATTTTTCACCTCTCACACCCCTCACGTGAAATTCCCAATCTTGTGGATTCCTAATGAGATGACTGCATTTCGCCTGTGGGATTTTGCCACACAGAGAACAATGAGCCACTTCTGCCTTAAAGGTCACATATTTTACACCTTTCTGGAGTTTTATTTAAAAAAAATTTTTTTGTTAGTTTTTATTAAAAAAATTAAGTCTTGATGTCCTTAAGAATATATATTTGCGGTATAAGTACCAAAAACCATCTCGATATATTTTTTACAGCTCTCTCAGGAGCTCTGTTGAGAACAGGTTTTTGGCCTGTCTCATTAATATTCATGAGCCTCTCTTCTGATTGGCCTGTTGTTTTCTGAGTGACGCACAGCCAGGCCAACCACAGGTAACTAGGGTCAGCGACGTCACAGCGCTAGCTGGAGGCAGCTAAACAAAGGGGAAACTGGCGGCGGCCCATTCAAACCAGCGCAGATTCGGCTACATAAGGAGCTTAAAATATCATCTTGTGATGTTGGGTGCCAGAATCGACGTAATACAGCCTCAAATTAGAAATTTGATCACAT